GATATTTTATTTTCTCCCACTCAAAGTTTGACATCTAGTGGCTGAATTAGGTATTGCATGCCTAGTTTAAAACACAAGCGCAGGTTGCCAGATTGAGGCTGATTTATTTTGTGATTCTAAATTAAAGCAACGGCACACGATAGAAGAAAAATTCCCCATAATAAAGGGAGTTTTTGGCCTGATCAACATCTGAAATTTATGTTGTAGAAACGGCTTTTGTTCCTCACAGCTGAACAGCAGAACACTGACACTGATCAGCTCAGCTCAGCTCATGTGCTGTATTCAGTGTTGAACACTGATAATGTGAGTCTGACAGGACATTATCAGCACACTACTGACAGCAGCAGCAGATAGTTCAGCTCAGATCTGCAGAACACAATAAAGAGTCTGAAACTGAACTCTAGAACTGCAAAGCAACACATATCAGTGATCCAGCATCTACATTAATCCTGTTCAAGAGCTGTGATCTGTGTTCATTAGAGTATAGAGCTCAGCATTGTGCTGGAGTGCAGTGAGTGCTCTATTCTGTGCTGTGTTTACATCTCTGTCCTGTTTCATCTGCTGCAAACAGCCAAACTGCTCATCATGATGAGATACACATCATGTAGTATGTTGTTAAGAAATCCGGTTACAATATGAGCTGCTCACCTAATGTTTACGCTCAGAATATTTATATTATTTGCTAATTAATCACCTCATGTGGAACTCTGAATCTGCGTCTCATTTCAGAGTCTGCTACTGTCCACCGGAGGTCACAGTTCGGTCAAAGACGCACACTCAGAGTCTTCCTGACTAAATGAATGAAATACGCTGTTTTCCACCATCTGGCAACCCGGGTGCTGAAATTAATTGGCTGAACTGGCGTTGGGCGGGTTAAATGACCTAAACAAAGACAGCCGTTCCGGCACATAATGCACATGTCCACAGCAGAATATCTGACTTCAGCATTGTGTTTCAGATAAACAAGAATGTTTACAGAGCATGATTCTGAATATCTGCACATGTTATGCTGTTTTGTGCTTTAGAACAGGGGTTCCCAACATTTTTTTTGCCCGAGACCCCCTTTTCCTCTGGTATATTGTAAGGCCCCCCTTAACATTTAATGATATCACTCATATAAGTTTGCAGTAACGCCCTATTCACACGGGGCGTCAGTGTCAACGCTTCCCATTCACTTTGAATGGGTGACGTCAGGCATTGCCGAACTGCATTGTGGATCCGTCGGCGCCGCTTTAGAAGAGTTGCTCGCTGCAGAAGTTGGGACTAGCTCAACTTTTCAAGCGCCAACGGAAGCGTCAGCCAATCAGATCGCTGTATGCAAATACACCAGCTCAGACAGTGGCCTATTGCTGACTGAATTTCATTGGCTGACGCTGCCATGACGATCGCTTCAGCCCTGACTTCAGACACGCCTTCAATCAAGTGTTGACGCTGAAGCCTCGTGTGAATAAGGCGTAAGGATGTTGTTTTTAAACAAACGGTGCGTTTATTAATAAATCTAGATATGTTTATGCACAAATAATAGCCTGATGTAAAATATAAAAGCGAAACATCAGTAGGCATAACTGAATCAGTAGGTAACTGAAAAGCATAAGCCTTTAAACTGGCCATATATTAGATCCATTAAAATAATTGTAGTCAGTAGCTGTAACATCCCTCATCTCATATTGGGTGTGTGTCAATTGACCCTTCGGTAAGCCACACCCATCAACTGCCACCCACCAATCATGGCTTAGCAACTGTAGCTACGCGCAGGGGCTCTGTCAAGCTCTCGAGCGAGTGCATATGGACTGTGCAAATCTGATACCAGCTATTCTTAAAGTTTAGACGGGATGGTGGAATTTTTTCCTTTTTCAAAACTTAAAACCCAAGAGGAGGAACACCAGCGTGGATCAAGCTGTGTGAGGGGCGCTAAAGGGGCGGAGCTAAGTTGGTTTTGTTTTGATATTCCTACGAATATTTGAAATTACAAATCAACAGAACAAAACTGAGATATGATCACAAAATGAGCAGCTGCGATCAATATACTCCACCCGCAGCTGTTTTTCAGTCATTTATTAAGAGCACAAACATACACTGACAGTGATAGGTAACTTACTGTACATTATTATGGGTCAATGATGCTAATACTCAACACAAATCCATCAGTTTCCCCTTTCTGGCTGCTCTTTCTATGAATAAACTGTGTAAAAGCACTGTCATTCGCGTTTCCTCGTCGGTTAGTAAGGTTATATTTCATTGCACAACAATTAATCTATCAGGCTTTTTGGCTAAAATAGCTTTATTTGAGTTTAATTAAATGTTATGATGAAGATGGACAGCGGGAGGAGCCGTTCAGAACACAAATACAGTCAGAAATGGGCTGATCATTTTGCAATGAAACAAAATAATATTAAACGTTGATTTCTAAAGGGGTTAAACAGAAAAGCATTTGGCCTAATACTGCTTAGAACGCACATCTTCAGCAATGTCCAAACACAAGTTATCCTGATTTTTCAATAAACAAAACTATGTCAATTACAAATATTCAGCTAAATAAAAACCAATAAACAGAATTAACTAAAAAGTGTAGGCTTAAAATCACCAGTAAACTGTTTATTTCATTTATTTCATTACTCTTGTTGCTTTTGTGAGTATTTAAATTTAGTACATACATTTTTACTAAATCTATAGTCAGTCCACTTTATAAAAAAGCCTCCTGGTAAACATTAAGAACAGCACTGTCTAATAAACTGCAGTGGTGTGTGTTGATGTGTGCTTTACTCACCACGATCCTCCCTGTTCTTGTAGAAGCAGACAAACACACTGACCACCTTCAGATGCTCTTCAGCAAACTCCAGCAGAGAGATGAAGCTGAACGAACGAACACACAAACACACACACATATATAAATATCACTCAAACCTTGTAAAGAGTTTTCTTCCCATAGCTATAGTTTAGTCTATAGCAAGAGTTTTTACTGTAGTGTAGAGTATGTATTTGTTATTGGTTTTATTATTTAGCTTGTTTGTATTTGATGTGTGTTTATGTTAATTATGTAAATCTATTGTCATTATCTATTGAAAATCATGTTATTGTCCATACAAACTGAAAGTTACTAGTGCAACAAACAATAATGAGTAGTCGCGGGGCTTTTTTAAAACAAACAGACTATTGAGTAGGGGCGGGGCTTTTTTGAAACAAACAGAATATTGAGTAGGGGCGGTTTTTTTTTAAACAAACAGAATATTGAGTAGGGGCGGGGATTTTAAAAAAAAAAAACAAACAGAATATTGAGTGGGGACAGGGCTTTTTTGAAACAGAATATTGAGTAGGGGCGGGGCTTTTTTGAAACAGAATATTGAGTAGGGGCGGGGCTTTTTTTTAAACAAACAGAATATTGAGTGGGGGCGGGGCTTTTTTGAAACAGACTAAGTAGGGGTGGAGCTCTTTTGTAACACAGAATATTGAGTAGGGGTGGGGCTTTTTAAAAAACAAACAGAATATTGAGTGGGGCGGGGCTTTTTTTGAAACACAATATAGAGTAGGGGTGGGTGCTTTTTTTGAAACAAACAGAATATTGAGTAGGGGCGGGGCTTTTTTGAAAGACAATTGAGTAGGGGTGGAGCTCTTTTGTAACACAGAATATTGAGTAGGGGCGGGGCTTTTTTAAAACAAACAGAATATTGAGTGGGGGCGGGGCTTTTTTGAAAAACAGAATATTAAGTAGGGCTGGGCTTTTTTTTTTTTTTTTTAAACAAAGAATATTGAGTGGGGGCGGTTTTTTTAAAAAACAGACTATTGAGTAGGGGTGGGGCTTTTTTTAAACAAACAGAATATTGAGTGGGGGCGGGGCTTTTTTGAAAAACAGAATATTAAGTAGGGCTGGGCTTTTTTTTTTTTTTAAACAAAGAATATTGAGTGGGGGCGGTTTTTTTGAAAAACAGACTATTGAGTAGGGGTGGGGCTTTTTTGTAACAGAAAATTGAGTAGGGGCGGGGCTTTTTTGAAAAACAGAATATTGAGTAGGGGTGGGGCTTTTTGAAACAAACAGAATATTGAGTAGGGGCAGGTCTTTTTTTGAAAAACAGAATATTGACTAGGGGGAGGGCTTTTTTGCACAATTGAAAGAGAATATTGAGTAGGGAGTGGTGCTTTTGCACAACAAACTGAATTTTAAGTAGGGGGGGGCTTTTGTGCAACAAACAGAATATTGAGTATGGGCTTTTGCACAAACAAAATATTGAGAAGGGGAAGGGCATTGTTGCACAAAAAAATTTATATTGAGTAGGGGCGGGGCTTTTGTGCAACAATAGAGCATGGGCGTTTGCACAAACAGAATATTGAGAAGTGGCGCGGCATTGTTGCACAGAAAACAGAATATTGAGTAGGGGCGGATTTTTGTGAAACAAACAGAATATTGAGTAGGGGCGGAGTTTTGTTTTGCACATCTAAACCATAATATTGAGTAGGGGGCGGGGCTTTCTTTTCACACAACTGAAACAGAATATTTAGAAGGGGGCGGGGCTTTCTTTTCACATAACTGAAATGCATTTAAACAAATATTTTTAATAAAATGTTTTTTTACAGTGCACAAATTAATTGTTCACCTAAAGAATAACAATGTGTGCACAATAAACATCTTGACTTCACACAGGCATTAAATCTAATGTTTTACTCATTCTGACACTGTGTGTGTTTGATCTGTTTGTCTATCGTGTGCTGTACATCTGTTGTTATATAGTTCAGTTATTCTCCTACAGTGTTGATCACAGTAGTGTGTGTGTGTGTGTGTGTGGCACCTCTCCTTGCTGCCGTCTGGAAAGGGTTCGCAGGGAATCTCCACAAACAGGCCATCTCCTCTCAGCACTGCCTCCCACTGGATAAGCCGCGCCGCTGCGGGACGACTCTGGAAATGCAGGATCTGCGGACGACCGGGACCAGCAGGCTCTTCTGTCACAGTCAACTTCCTGTCCTGAGAACACACACAGCATTAGTGCATGCACATAAACCATCAGCACGAACACACACATGCACACAGATCATCACTGCATGCCCATTCACCATCAACACACACACACGCACACTACAAGTTGTCTGTCAAGCAAGGTAAGCAACAACCATTCCCAGCATTAGGTCTCGCTCACCTCCAATATAAATAAATCTGTCAAATATTTAAAGTTGGAATTTTGTTTTGACAGCTTCAGTAATGCTCTGTAGTGTGTGTAGTGTATACTCACGGAGTACAGCGTCTGTGTTGTGGATGGGTGATCCCGTGCTCCGTTCCCTCGCCCACCTGGGATCTTCAGAGGTGGGTGAGGGGCATCAGGAGCACCACAGAGGCCCTGGACCAGTGGTACTACTACAACATACAGTCAGACTGTGGAGAGAGAACACACACACACACACACACAACAGCAGCATTAGAACATGAAATACACACACACACACACACACACACACACCTACTACAACAAACAGACTGTGGAGAAAATACACAGAACCTGATGGATAAACACACACACACCTAATAAAATATACAGACAAGCCGTGAAGAAAACACACACAACAGCGGCTTTAGAACATGATTAGATGATGACAGATGAACACACACAGCTACTATGAGTGCTGCATTACAGACTTCTCATGGTTCAGCTTGGTTTTCGGGTCACAGTTTCAGTTCTGTATTTATGTTCATATGTTATGCAGATATGTTAAGTAAAAAAAACAATAATATAATCATATAATATATAAAATAACTAGGGTTGGGTACTGAAACATCTTTGTAAGCAGTATGCACTGGGCCGAATCAGCATAGAAATTTCGGTGCCTAATTGCGGTGCCACTGGTGCTGCGACAAGAACGTAAGAAGCATCAAGGGGTGCATCAAAGACACACATAAGTACGAGTTGTGTCACAATCTCTAAACATTTAATTCTAACAGCTTTGAGGGATATGGACACCGTCAGCGATGTTGGGTGTTTGTTCTTGTTGCTTAAAGAAGGCAAAGCGTGCAGTACGCCGCATGCCTTCATCAACACGCATGATCACGTTCATCTAATTTGCTTAAACGAAGCGTTCTACAGTATGGCTTTATTTTACAAGCAAGGATTCTGACACAGCCACATGCAGCAGATGCTTTACAAAAGTTGCGTGTAAGCGAGTAAACACGTCAAACTTATGAAATGTGAGGGCTCATGAAATCAACTTAAAGGTGAGGAATGAACTGTCTTTACCAGCTTGTGACATCATCTGACTCTTTATGTAGGTTTACATGGACACCAATACTCTGATTTTAACATGATTAAGACAATACTCTGATCAAGAGTCTACCGTTAACAGTGATTTTTGATTAAAAGGACCACAGACACAAAATGAAGAGGAAACATTTAAAATTATTAATATTAATTGTTAATTATTAATTGTATGTTTATTATTAAAAACAAGTTATGTAATATCATTTGTTCCAGACCTTTGACTTTAATTAAAATTCACATTTGGACATTTTTTGTAGACGTTGAGAACCCGTTCTTATTGTATTTCACAATATTTTGGGATTGTTTTATTATTTTTTTGCAGATGCACTTCCTTACAAAATCATCTCAATGTATCTGAAATGATGAGTTCTTTTCTAATATACCTGTTTATTACATCAGGTGAAATTATACTTCATGTTGCAACATATATAAAATATTGCAAGTCAGTTTTTCCAATATGGTGCAGCTCTAGTTGACAGAGACATCTTAGAGTTTTTTTACAGTACACTCTCAGAAATAAAGGTACAGGAGCTGTCACTGGGGCAATACCTTTTCAAAAAGATACATATTTGTACCCAAAGAGTCAACAGTGGTAGCTTAAAGGTACCTATTAACGCGCAAATGTACCTAAAAAGTACTTTTGAGTTCCATTATGGACCCAAATATGTACCTTTTGAAAAGGTATTGCTCCAGTGACAGCTCCTGTACCTTTATTTCTGAGAGTGTACTGTAAAACAAGCACAGACAAAAAAGAAAATTAAAAAGAGTTTTGCTATTTTGTGAAAACTTTTTTCCAAGCCAACATTAACATTTGCATAGACACACACACACACACACACACACACACACACACACACACACACAATCAAGGAAGTAAAAATATAAAGCACAATTCATCAGTTTGCCACATGACATTTCTTCATTCCACTGCTCGACTTCATTGTTTTTCTGTGTAAACACAGACACACACACACACACACACACACACACACACAATGCAGGACTCAGCTTTGCAACAAGTCAGAAGACCTTGAGTTTTATCTTTACTCCAAACACACACATTCTGTGTGAACGTCTCAGAATTTTCATTTACTGAAGGCCAAAAAGAGAAATTACACACATTATAAACAGCAGCTGCCAGACAAACACAGCTTGCATTTACAATTACGCTTCATTCATTTTTCATTAGTTAATGCTTTTGTGATTTCACCTACAACTACACTTAAGTCACTTTTAGATGTATTATTAAATTATTTTAAGGTTTGAGAGTGTTTAATTAGAACAGTGTTTAATTCACTTTCAGTTTTGTAATTTAATTTAGAATTAAACCATTTTATTAATGTATTTTTGTCTTTTTAAATTTAATTTACAATTAATTTAAATAATTTTATTAGTTTATTTTAGTCTTTAAATTTAATTTACAGTTAATTAAAATCATTTAGTCTATTTTAGTTTTTTAATTAAATTTACAATTTATATAATTTTATTAGTTTATTTTAGTCTTTTTAAATTTAATTTACAATTAATTTAAATAATTTTATTAGTTTATTTTAGTCTTTAAATTTAATTTACAGTTAATTAAAATAATTGTCTATTTTAGTTTTTTTTTATTAAATTTACAATTTATATAATTTTATTAGTTTATTTTAGTCTTTTTAAATTTAATTTACAGTTAATTTAAATAATTTTAATAGTTTATTTTAGTCTTTAAATTTAATTTACAATTAATTTAAATAATTTTATTAGTTTATTTTAGTCTTTTTTATTTAATTTACAGTTAATATAAATAATTTTATTAGTTTATTTTAGTCTTTTTTTAAATTTACAGTTAATTTAAATAATTTTATTAGTTTATTTTAGTCTTTTAAAATTTAATTTACAATTAAATTTAATTCACTTTTAGTTGTTTTTATTAGTCTTTATTTTTAGTTTTTGTGATTTCCAAAGTGTTTTTTTAAGAGTGTTTAAGCATTTTGTTTTTAGATCTTTCCAAAAGATTTACTTCACTGTCATTTTTATAACGTAAAAAATGCAACCAGGGATTATTATCTAGTGGTGATCTGTTATTGGCGTTAACGCGAGACTCTTATCACCGTTAACCTATTCTCAAAGTTCGGTTGGGAGCTGTGTCCACACCAGCCAACACTCCCGTTTTTCCCGGTATATTTCAGACTCATATCCCGTTTTGTTATGTCTCCCGGAATTTCGTGTCGCACATCCACCCCCTCTTCCCACTCTTCAATGTTATGGTTTTAGTTCATTATAATATGCCTGAAAATAGCTTGCTGTATTTTATGCAACAATTTATTTAGATTTAAAAAAAAAAATCAATAGCATTTTGTTTCTTTTTCTTCAATCTGTGTCATTCAGACAATACAAAACACAATAAATACACACAATATAGATTTATAAATCCTTCTAAAAACAATCATGTGTGAACACAATAATAAAGCAAATCAGAAATAGATTATGTGAGTGCCAAATTTAAATAAAATAGTAGAACATGTTGGACTGGACAAATCCTGTGTAGAACAGGATAAAAATAATAATTATTTAAAATAAAATGAGAAATTAAGAGCTACAGCTGAAAAACAGACAGAACAACGGTAATTTCTTACTAACGTATTAACAAAAACACTAATGAGTGAAAACATCAGCACTATCAGCACACATTCACACACAAAGACCAACAAAAACATGCGGTTCAAGGTCACGTGAAAAAATAATAACCAAAAAATGGTGACGTCATGACGTTTCATAACAAAAATTTTGCACTTCCAGAAAATAATACACGACTTTCCTATGGGTTACTGTGAAATATTAAATATGCATTTAAAGTAAAACCACGACTACAATTATATAGATTTAATAATAATTTGACAAACAGAAAATAACGCTCGATTGTTAGCAATAAAACCAAAATAAGCCAAAATCAGGAGAAACACCCCTTTAACACCCGAAAGTGGCGTCGGCGCGATCAAAGCCTCGAATGTGGTGACGTCACGGCGTTTTAAAATGTGACGTACGTGTGAAAATCTAGGCCCTCGACGTCAAATCTCACAACATGAGCACATTATAAACAATTTAACCGAACAAGAGCCTTTATAATCTAATATTAATCTACAATACAGCAATTCGCGTATAATCGTTATGAGATCAAAGCGGCCTCGTGAACGCGCGTTTAAAGGGCTACGCTCGATTGTGAAGATGCTAAGCAGAGGATTTAACCGAAATGAATGAAAGTTTGACATGTTAACACGACATGACTGATGGATGGGCGATTTTAACGCGTTTAGATGCTCGTGTGTGGAATGTTTGCGGATTTGAAGAGCTGTCGCAGATATGCTGAAGAGATGCCGTTAGCATTAGCATTAACGTTAGCCTACAGGCCCCAAGAGGAAACCGACCACCGTTAAACCGTTTTTAAACCCTTATTCAGGACGACAAGTGTCGAAGTGATAAGCGTATGCTGTCGTTAAACCGGAAACGAGCATGTTTTTATCTGTGGTCGAGTGTTGACGGGCTGTTTTTAGAGGATTGTCGTCTCACCTCGCCATCCTGTCGGTAATACTGGAACTGAGCGCCTCCATGATGCTGCTCTCGCACTGTTTCTTTCCTTCTTTTTCGCGGGCAAAGCAATGACTGTTTAGGATGCGCTGGAGGTTGGATTTTACCATCCGGCCTCGGGAGGTTTCACGGCGGCCTGTGCGCTCGGCTGCTGTCGGCAGTGAGTCTGTGGAGCGCGGAGGCGGAGACGCGCACAAAAACACAAACGCGCTACTATGGCGAAGGCGGAGCTCATTAATATGCATGAGGTTGCCATTGCTGCCTTCGGTGACAGTTTAGCGCTAGAAGGGATACAGCCGCGGCCAAAGTTAACGAGAATTATGTGTATTACTTATTAAATTACCAATTAGTTGTATTTTTATTAACGTCTTCCCCTTCCCAAACCCTCATAGTAATGTTAAAACAGTAATCATTACGATAAATATTTATCAAATTATCCGTTAATAGTACTTTATTTACATATACCCTAAACTCAACCCTTATAGCAATGTAATATTATTTATTAAAAAACGCATTAAATTTGAATTTATAAACATCTACCCTTACCTAAAACCCCCAGGGTCATGTAAAAATATTAATTATTGTTGTAGTCGTGTCACAAAAAATATGCTATATTAATGTATCCGCAGCTGTATCCCATCTAGACTTTACCCGGGCATTGCGGCTGTTTCTTGAAGGGATACAGCTGCGGCCGGAATTAAACGAGAATTAATTATTAAATTAAATATTAATTGTATTTTATTCACGTCTACTCTGAAGCCAACATTCATAGTTCTAAAAAATAGTAATTATACTGATTATTATTTATTAAATTACCAATTATATCGTATTTCATTGACGTCTACCCTAATAGTTATATACAAATATGAATTATTGTTATACAGTGTTACAAAAATCATGCTTTATTAACGTGAGTGTCCGCAGCTGTATCCCATCTAGACTTTACCGTGACCGGGTGGTGAGTGTCACGTGACAAAGATGATTATTATTCATGAAGAGCGTCTTCAGCCAGTCAAATCGCGTGCCTCATTAATATTCATGAGCCGATCGCCTTCGCTATAGTAGGCTCGACAGACGCGTTTGTTGAGAGTGGAAAATTACTGAGAGGAAGCGAATGTAGATTTGCGTTTGAAAGAAGGGTGTGAGTGTTTGTGTGTGTGTGTGTTATGATTGCGTTATGCATCTGCAGGTCACACAAAAAGAAACTTTAGAGGAGATTAATCTTTCATGTCTTGCACTTTATGAAGAGATCTGCATGTGCACTGTTGCTAGGTTTATTATATTAGATTGCATGGTGTTTTTCAACGTGTAAGACAGTAATAAGGACATTTGAATTGGATGGATTTTATTAAGTTTGATGATATATAACTGATTTCACAGTACTGTCTGATATCAGTTCACCAAAAAAAAAAAACAATGATATTCTGTCATCATTTCCTCTCTCCTTACAAAGTTTGAGTTTTTCTTCCGTTGAGCACAAAAGAAGATATTTTGAAAAAAGTTGGAAACCTGTAACCATTGACTGCCATATAGTATTTGTTTTTTCCACTATCAAAGTCAATGATTACAGGTTTCCAGCATTCTTCAAAACATCTTCTTAAGTATTTAACACTAGAAATAAAACCTCATTAAGGTTTATATCCACTTAAATAGCGTGTAAATAGTTCAAGTTTCATTTTTTTGTGGTAAACTATCCCTGGCCCGTAGCCAGCCAGGTTAAAGAAGTGGTTCTTTTTCTCAAAAAGTGGAGCTTTCTGCAGTTATTCGCCCATTTTAGTGACATTTTAAGCACTATTTAAGCACTACTTTAAGCACTATTTTAAGTATGATACAAAATATTTCCTAAAGATTTAAATAAAGAAATTTGAAATACTACTTATTTTTAAAATACATATTTATTGCATCATATATCATAAAGAAAAACATTTGGAAACTGTAGTCTATTGTCATTTAATAGCCAAATAACAAATTGCACTTTTCTTAGTTTGACTATTTGAAAAGAAAAATAAAACATTAAAAGTAGTAGTAATAGTAGTTATAATAATAATAATAATAATAATTATTATTATTATTATTATAATAATGTAGAACTTTACAGTTTTCCTAGTCTCTCTTGTAAAAAATGTACATTTGAAAATTAATGGATAACAACAATCGCCAACTTGGTTTTTAAATCAATTTCAATATGGTCCACTTTTGGTCCTTCACACCTTTTCTGTTTTAAGCATAAGGTCCAAGATTTAGAATTAAGGTTACTTGTAGAATGTTTTCTCTGTTTAAAAACAATACAGCAGCAAAAGATGACCACTTTCGTCAGATTGTCAAATGAAAATATTGGTTAGCATTGGCCAACACTGCACTTTCAGCTATTCAATGAAGCGACAGACAACAGAGGACTCCGCTTGGTCTTAAATCCTTTTTCAATTCACCATTTATGATGGCATAGCAGTCAAAATAGGACAAATGAGCTCATATATGGGACAAATTCTGGACCTTTGTCAGTGAGGAGTGGGTCTTCCGAACCACCCACTGGCTACGGGCCTGTACCCCTATAATGTTTGTGTATTATCCATTGTAATAATAATATATTGTGTGTTTGTGGCTAAAGCAGGCCCGTAGCCAGCCTGGTGTAAGGGGTGATTCTTTTTATTCTCAAAAAGTGGACATTTTGCACACATTTGCCTGATTTTCTATTTAGTTATGAGATTTAACTACTGCATTTTAGTGACATTTTAAGCACTATTTTCAGCTTGTCGTGATGTGGTCATCATAACCACAATTTTTGATCTACCAAAAATATTTCCTAAAGATTTAGAATAAAGAAATGTGAATATACTTATTTTTAAAATACATATTCGTTGCATCCTATATCAGCCTGCTGTCATTTATTAGGAAAATAACAAACTGCCCAGCACAATCAACTGTCCTTAGTAAGAATTTGGCCATTTGAATACAATATATTAACAATAATAATAAAAAAATAATGGCACAGTGGGTAGCAAGATTGCCTCACAGCCAGGATGTTGCTGGTTCAAGTCTCGGCTGGGTCAGTTGAAGTTTCTGTGTGGAGTTTGCATGTTCTCCCAATGTTGGCGGGGGTTTCCTCGGTTTCCCCCACAGTCCAAACACATGCACTATAGGGGAATTGATGAACTAAACTGACCATAGTGTAGGAGTGTGTGTGTGAATGAGTGTGTATGGGTGTTTCCCAGTGACAGGTTGCAGTTGAAGAGGCATCCGCTGTATAAAAAACATATGTTGGATAAGTTGGTGGTTCATTCTGCTGTGGAGACCCTTGATTAATAAAGGGACTAAGCCGAAAAGAAGATGAATGAAATTGTCTGTATGTATGTGTGTGAATAAAAGTGTATGGGTGATTCCCAGTGATGGCTGATGACAGAAATTTAGTCTCCTTAATAAAGTTTAATAACTTAGTTTAACTTTCAGACAGGCAGCTCAGAGAATCATCAGCATGACTACAAGCAAATAAAACACTTGAAGAATAACAGCATATTTTGATGACGCAGTCATCTGGTTCCTCTGGCCTGAAATCTCCCCTGTGTTGCTGCTGGTGCAGAGGTTAAAAAACTGCTGGTGCAAATGATATACAGGTAATTTAGTCACAAAGCTCACGATCTGCACATCACTGAACACACACTGAGGGTTTTACTGCATTCTCTCAATTCTTACTCTGTAATCACTCAGCATGCACGAGTTACTGAGATCATGAAATCTCTGGCTGCACATTATTTACATCATCCATGCCAAAGGTAAAAATGACTCGCCCTCCTATTATATTTTACTTTTAATTCATATTTTAATGTAAATGTAGTTCTTTGAAAAATATTTCTTAAGTGCTCTTTAAAGGAGAGACTTCTCAACACAAACTGACTATTTATAGTGAGTTAGGAATCATCCGATTGGTGCATCATGTGTTAGCCAATGCGGGACCAGCTTTGGTCAATCATAAACACGTGATCCTCAAGAAATTAGTTTAGAAATAAACTTCACCTAATAACGGATTTATTTTCTCTTTGCCATGATGACAGCACATAATATTAGACTAGATATTCTTCAAGACACTAGTGTTCAGCTTTAAGTGACATTTAAAGGCTTCACTAGGGTAATTAGGGTAAACCTTTATTAACTTCATTACACAAGTGTTTAGATCATTAAGTATTTCACGTGATTTTCCTTTAGCTCAGTTCCTTTATTCATCAGGGGTCGCCACAGTGGAATGAACCACCAACTATTCCAGCATAAGTTTTACACAGCGGATGCCCTTCCTGCTGCAATCCATCACTGGGAAACACCCTTACACTTCAATTCCCCTATAGCGCATGTGTTTGGACTGTGGAGGAAACCGTAGCACCCGGAGGAAACCAACACCAACACGGGGAGAACATGCAAACTCCACACAGAAATGCCAACTGACCAAGCCGGGACTTGAACCAGCGACCTTCTTGCTGTGAGGTGATTGTGCTACCCAATGTGTCACCATGTCACCCTGTTATTAAGTATTCAAATACCAAATTAATGTTAAATATGATTATTAAATGTTATTAGCCCCTTTCACACAGGGAGACCGGTAAACATCCGGAAAATTTCCAGAACGACTTTACCAGTAAGTAGACACTGTTCACACACAGGCAAGGACATTGTGGAATTTTTCCGGGAAAGACCGTTCACACATCCATTCCAGAATAGCAGTAAATTCTGACATCATTAAGCACTATCTGTGTTGTATTTGCTCTGTATCTGTATTTTGAACTGTCTGGAGCCAGCACCTAAGCTTTTCACTCATCATAGCTCACATGCTGCTGCTGATGTGACAATAAAAGTGATTTGATTTGATTTTGAAATGTTTGTAAACATTTGACTACATTACAAACAAACAGTATTGCAAACAACTTCAATAAAAAACATATACAGACATTCCACAAGTATAAAATGAGCATTATAGGAACAAAAAAAAATCCAATCTGGGTATGAAATTTGTTTAATAAACATAAAATAAGAAATCATAATAAAAGCTTACATTAACATGACTATAAACTATGAAAAAGACACTTAAACATTATCATATATGAAAACAGAAGGGAAAATTACCATTAACTTTAAAGCAAATGTAAGATTTTCAAAGACAATTAAGAATGAAATGAACACAAGACGAAACAATTAAGAAAGATTTTATGAT